CGGCGGTATCTGAGATACGTCAAAGCTCCGAGTTTCGCTCGTGCACTTCGTCGTTCCAAAGAGAGAAGATCATCTCGCGCGCGCGCGAGCGACCATATGGTCGCCGGCGGCACAGGTCATTATTTTCTAGCAGGATTGCTCAGAAGAGGGATCCACAGGAAGGGGAGCATGGAAAGGGGAGATCGGAGCCCACCACGAAATTACTCGAAAATTACTCGGCGCACCTCGCTCGGCTTTTCGTTTTTCGGGGATAATTTTATGATCGGGGATTTTTAATTTGAATTTCAATACACACAGAGCGGGGCACACACGATCCTTCTCGGTGCCCCATTCTTCCTGGAACGCGATACTGGCTGCCACGATAAAAGTATTGATTTGCCCGATGGATGTTAAGGTATCTGTTCCGCTTAAATTATTTCCGCAATAAATTGATCTACGTAATCTACAGTAGAACGTTATATATATAAATTTTGTAATGAAACCGCGCGATCAAGTTTTATTAAATTTTGATATTAAATTTAAAATGTATTAAATATATTACGAGATGCTATATTATAGTGATATATCTATAATCTATAATATACCACATATCGTAGATAAATTATAATTTTTTGAGCTGTAATTTTACACTCTACTTCAACATGTCAGCTGTCTGATACATTGGTACCACTTAAGATTTAATATACATCGCTTTTTATTGATGTATTAAAAACGTACCTCTGCGCCGTTAAAAAGATCATGTCGCTAGTCATGTGAGGAGGGCTTAAAATATCTTGACAGGGATCACATATATATATAAAAACTTAGCAACATTTTATAAGTGCGTTGTCGTGTATTTTGTCAGTTCGTTACTTAAAAGAGTGACTCGAAACTCTATAAGTAGCCACTTCCCTCGTTCTTGAGAGATCTCAGAAAGACCTCAGATTCTGAGCATCTACTCTGCAGCCTCGCACGAATCTTGTCTGTCTGAAACGTTCTTGGAGCGTTTACCCTGATTTGCATATTCCTTAAAACATGCAGCAGTAATGGTGTAAGGAACAAAAATGCAATCTGGAACAGAATACCTCGGCTTTATGATGCTATAAATCGATACACTGGATAAATACTCGCGTGTGTAGCAAGAAGTGTTAACTACTTCCTTAATTAGAACTTTCTTGTGCACGATCAGTGATCGTAAACTTATATTTATCGATATGACATTATTTTGATTGGTATACCAAACCTATTGCAATATTTGATTGCATTAGCGCGAAATATCAGATCTATACTTTAAGATAAACAACGTTAAGATAAAGCAGGTACTGAATACATGTGCCATAACTGTGTAACAAAGAATCGCTTAATTACTGTTTTTTTCTTTGCCTTGCATTCATTTTTTTTTCTTTTGACGTTAACCTAGCTCTCTATAAAATAGAGAGTAATCATCCTCCTCTTACCATCTCAACATTTTTGGCAGATCGAACCCTACGACCGAACTGTATTTTTTCTTGTCTAAAGATAAATCTGTCTGCCCGCATGCCATATGTCGACTTGATTCTGGAAAGCGTTTTCCGATTTCTCGCGTGCAACAGATGGCTGGGTGGGGCAGTCCGTTCTTCTCTCCAAGGATCTGGAAATCCTATGGGAGCGATTCTTCGTTCTCCGACATGTTTTCCTTAGTCATGAACTGGCAATTTATATTATGTATCGGAATATCGCTCAAAAAAATTTATATATATATATATATATAATGTATATATCATATAATTCTGAAAAATAATGTAAACATTCTGAATTAAAGTATATATATATATATATATG